CATTATTAGCTGTAAGAAATATTGATATGAAGTAGAAATTTAAACTAGTCCATATATTACTAAGTCTGTAAATGAGTTTCTAAAGTAAATTGAAATCTTAACAAGCACTTCTATCGATTTATAGATGTATTTCAGTACCAAAGAGTGCTTTTTGATTTGAGTGCTCGAAAGCATTAATAAGTAGACAAATTTTCTTCGGAAATTTTATGAATTTAAGCTTCCAGGTAAATAAGTAAGATTTTTTCGTTGGAAATGCTTCTATTGATAAAGTCTTAGAGAAAATAATTAGGGATCTTATTTTTTAAATTGTGCAAGTGAGTTTAATTTTATAATTTATTGTCGAATTAATCCAATATTAATTTAAGTTAGTCGGATTCATTTTTAGAGCTGACTAGTTTATTTCACGAAATGAACTGATCACTTCTAAAAATAAATAACTGAAATATTAAAATGATTTTGATTTACAGGCATTTTCGGCCACAGCACGCTCAATGCCAACAGTTACAAATGTTGTCACAAACAATAGTAATCATCCAAGTACTAGCACTCAACAACTTACTACAACAGCGACAGTGGGAACTATTTTACGTGAATCAGTTGATACTGTAAGGCCTGAAACACCACCTGCTGATTATGATACTGCTTTTAATGACCTGCATATCACTAATAATACCACTGGTAATAACAGTAATAACAAACAATCACATCAACGTACCACTGCTGTCATGTACTAATTATGATTTATGTTTGTTACTTTTTTTTGGAAATACGGAAATATTTTGCCGTAGTTTCCAGGAATCTTAAAATGATTAAGATTCCTCAAAAATTAATAAATACTGATACGAAATTCAGAATGAGTGAAAAATAATGCTTAGAAGACCGATTATCAAGTTTAACATCAGAATAATTCATGGTATTTCTTCAAGTTCGAAATCACAGAAAGCAAGGCTAGTTTCTTAAACAAATAACTATTTTAATTTCAGGATTAAGCGGTAGTTGAATACAATCCATGAGATTCTTAGTTGCTAGAAAATTTGTTATTGTTTTTGCATTCCTGAAAACATAACACTTCATTCTTTCTAGCAGTCATTCTATCAAAACTGTCAACCTACTCTAGTATATTCGCCTACTCACCTCATTGTTCAAGCTAAGCAAACATACTAAAATTAGTGATGGAAGTCCCACTTCTTGTCCTTCACTTTTGATAGTCATAATGTATCACACCCATCTTTTGGATGCTTCCTCAACCTTCTGAATGCTTTTCTGCAATTTTACTCATTCCAGCAATTCTCTTCTTCAATGGTACAATTCACTAAGAGTCCATTTCTTTCAGTCAGTTTTTGTTGTATGATGAAGCAGAGAACATAAAGAACCACCCGCAATGGTCTACATTAATCTGTCGCTGACTGACTGTGTGAACTTACCAGTTTTAATGTTTTGTAATCCTTTCCGTGTTATTCTTCATGCTTTATATTAAATGTGTAATGCAATTACTCTATTCAAAAGTATCATACATTATGCTGTGACTAAGTAAGGTAACAGATGCAGCATTATAACCTGATTGTCTCTTGGAATTTTGAAGCATGTTATTGACAATCACTTCCAGTTATCATAACGGTAACTTCAGACTCAGCTACGGAGAAAAGAGATGGAGAAAACAAACATACTGCAATCAGATTATTTTACTGATAATTAGTCAAGGAACAACAGCAAGAACGGAATGTATTACTTGATTAAACAAAACTTGTACTTTGACTTCCACAAAGCAAAAATCGTTTCATCTTCATGACTAACAATAAGCTTTAAGATAGATAAATAAATACACTTAAGGACATGAAAAAACTAATGCAATAAATCTCAGCAGTTTGAAGTGCTGCTTGTGAGCACAGGTTTCTCAGAAAGTTCTGAATAGTTTAGATGCTACACCATAATAGCTGTGACAAATTGTAATGATGGCTATGGCTATATAAATTGAAATATACAGCTAATCTCGAAAATAATCACTACCATTGCAACACATGAAATAAGAAAAATGTGCTTTCTTCAAAAGATACAACTTTGCAGCGACCAAAAGTTAAAGAGGAGGCAGCATGTACAGAAAAACCACTCTGCAATTATAGGTTTTAACATAAAAGCAGTTACAATGAAAATATTGTACTCTAAAAAGACTTTAAAAATCAGCTGAACATTAACAATTACGATAGCTTTTTGAAAGCAGAGAAATAAAATTGTTTTAAACTTGAACCTAAGAAAAAGTGAATAGCAATAAGCAATAAAACGTACACCGATTCATTTACGCAACAATTTGTATGAATTTGGAATTGTTCACATTAATTAGAGATAATCAACTGATACATTTCATTTAAATTTGCAATTGCTGCTGTATGGCGTGACTTCAGTGACAACTGCAATTAGAAGAGATCAAATGCTGTCTCAAAATGATTAAAGACTGTTATGGATATTTGTAAAGATCATATTAAGTGTAATGAGTAGGAATAACATGGAAGATTTCTATATTTTGTGAATGGATCTTTTAATCAAATAAAGAAAATTAATAGAAAAAAAAATTACAGTGAGAGGTTGAGATACTTCTTGCATCTTCAGCTCCGAAAGTACATAAATTTGATTAGTATATTTAATGGAATGATAAAGCAGTTCCTGTCCCTCTACATTCCGACGAGCCACAGTAAAAATATTATTCTGTTGTAACTTGGTGCATATATCATCTGGTAACAATGAATTTTAATACTTGCAAATTTACCATTCCTAATCAAAGACTACTCTTTCTTGCATACACAAGGCAACCCAATAAGTGTCATGAAAATTTTGAACAGATATCATGAAAATTTTTCAAATAAGACTCCAATTATAAATATACTTGAAGGATAAACTTAAATGGAAAATTGATCTAAGAGAAAAAAAAATTACAGTGAGAGGTTGAGATACTTCTTGCATCTTCATATCTAAGCAAAATGTTATCACAATACATTTTTTTTTAAATCACAAAATAAAAAACTTAGAAGATCAATGAATAACTAACCTGCGACTAAACCTCTGACATTGTTGATTGTGAATTGCACTTCATTCTGTTCAGGTATTTCTTTCCACATTTGCAAGAAATCTCGCTTGTCCATTTGACCATTCTCATCAAAATACATATTCAGTGGCACGATCGTGGCAAAATAGAACACATCAACATCATTCTTAATAGCTACCTGAATCCAAGCAATACAACTATGCAAAGAACAACGCAAACAAAACTTGGAACAACTTTTAAAAAATCAGTACTCTGTAAGTTTTAGTCAAAATAAAAAACGTAAGTTTACAGAATTTACTGATTATAACGGAAAACAACATATTGCAAAGCAAAACCATCATATCTGCCTGCTGTTTTATCAAAAAGCTATAACATAATACAAGATTATATGTTAACACTAAAATTATAAAATGAATAAATTGAAAGAAATTAATTTATTTAAATAGTGTTTAATGCAAAGCTGAATGAAACAGAACACCTGCAAATTTGTAAGTGGTTCCATTTTTTGTACTGGGCCATTAGTATAACATAGCAAAGATGTATGAGAAGACTGATTGGGGTAAAGAGGAGAGCTAATTTGCAATAATTCAGCTGGAATCAATCCAAACCTAAAAGTCAACTATCCGCATCAAGATTTATCAAAGCAATGCTACGTTCAACAGCTTTCACCAAGTCAAATCCATAAGTAACATAAATTTCTTAGACACTAAACTGATACACTCATAAGTGTAGAGCTTTATTAAATCTAAACTACACTTACGAATTTTTATTAAATTGAATAGCGTATCCAGTGAAGGGTTGCATTGCGCGGTTTGTAAAGGTCATTTCCATATAAATTTGTCCATTACGACGAACAAAAGTTCCTTCGATTTGTGTTCCTTTACCTTTGCTAGCTTCCAACCAAATCTTAAATTTTAAACCACTAAATTTTGAAAAATCTAAAGTCGTTGAAAATTAAAATCACAACAGTAAGAGGCTGTTAATGACATTTTAGACTTTCCATCATAAAGCATTACGTACAATATTCGTCAGTAATCAGCAAGGTACTTAAATGATCAAATAAAAACAAGACTGCTGCTAACAATAAGAATGGATCGCAAAAAAAAAAAAA